CTCAGTATGAGAAGAATTTATATTGGGTCGGCCAAAAAGTCCACATGTTTTTTTCCGTGAAGTAAAAGATATGTTTTTCGTTTTCATCAATAACTTTATTGACTTGGATATTTTGAGTATATTGGCTATCTCCCACATGGTATAACATTGACTGTTTTCAATTAATGTCTTAATTTGATCGCTATCCACTTCCATTGGTCTATCCGATCGTGGATCATCATCCATCAAGAAATATCCAGCACGGAGCTTCCCAAACCACTTTGACACATTTGATCAGTCACAGCACCTTCTCCAAACACTGCACAAATCTTATCTTGCGTTTCAGTTGTATTTTTACATTTCTTGAAATAGAGCACAATATGCCAAAAATGTCACGTACTGTCTTCCATCTTCAGTATTAAAATGGCTGCACAAAAACTCACCAATTTTGCCCTGGCTGGCATAGCTCAGTGGATTGAGCTCGGGCTGTGAACCAGGCATCACAGGTTCAATTCCCAGTCAGGGCACATGCCTAGGTTGCAGGCCATGGCCCCCAGCAACTGCACATTGATGTCTCTCTCTGTCTCTGTCTCTCTCTGTCTCTCTCTCTCTCTCTCCCCCGTTCCCTTCCCTCTCTAAAAATAAATAAAATCTTAAAAAAAAGATTCTTTAAAAAAACAACTCACCAATTTTGATGTTTTTTTTTAAATGCACACTGATATGACAGCCATCACAATACAAGCTAACAAAACTGTTTCAAATGAAATCAAAGAAAACAAAGAGCTACTAAGAGCCATCTTAAAAAACCAAATGAACTTTTTGGCCAACCCAATAAGGAAGTAGTATCCAAGTGTTACATGATTTCTTGAATACTTAAGAACCAGAACATAATCTCTTTGGAAATATAAATAAATTATAGAGCAGCACTATCCAACAGAACTTTCTGCGAAATGGAAATATTCTACGCCTGCATACAATGAGGTAGTACTGGCCGCACGTTGCTATTGAGTACTTAAAACATGACTAATGCAAGTAAACAGGATTATTGATATTACTTATTTCTAATTAACTCAAATAGCCACATATAGCTAGTGGCTACTTAAGGGACAATGGAGGTACAGAGTGTGACAACCAATCTCACTTGGTTCCACATTTTAACACAGGGTGCAGTCTGGACACATCATAAAGATAATGAGATACATCATAAAAGTGACTAAATGTTGAAAAACAATACTTCTGTGAAAAGGCCCCAAAACAGAATTTTTAAAATATTTACATCTTACTTTGTTCCAGAAAGAATTTAACATGACTGGCAAAGACTCAGAGCACAGCAAGAAAAAAATCACTTGTTACATAAATGTTAAAAAAGCAAATATGTATATTAAGTAAAGGTATAAAACAAACTTAAAAGAGGTTTAAAGAAGATTTACCTTCTGAGAAGAAATAGTTGAGCAATATCTGAATACTGGTATTTTATGACTATAAGAAGTTTTTATGGATTTAAGTGATTCAGATACTATTCAAGAAGTGGGTTATAGATTATGGGTTTAATACAGAGCACGAATAATTTAGATTGAGATATTAATGATCCACTTCTATTTCATAAATTACCCCAAAATTCAGCAAATTACAACAGTAACATTTAGAGGCCCACACAGGTCTGAGGGTCAGGAGCGTCCGAGTGGCGTGGTCCTGGCTCAGGGTTCCCCAGCTGCACACAGGGCTGAAGGCTGGGCCTGGTAAGACCGGATCCGCCTGCGAAATGATTCACCCCACAGCTGCTGGAATGAGGCCTCGATTCCTCACCAGGTGGGTCTCCTTAGAGGAACGCCTGCGTCCCCTTACAGCATGGCGGCTGGCTTCATCAGAACAAGGCGGGGAGAGGGCAAAGAGAAAGCTGCGGCGCCTCTTATGAACAACCTGATCTCAGAAGTCACACGCTATCACTTCTGCAGTGTTCTTATTAAAAAGCAAATCACAAGCCCTAACCAGGGTGGCTTAGTTGGTTGGGAGACCACATCCCACAAAGTGAAAGGTCACCACCGGTTCAATTCCTGATCAGGTCGCGTACAAGAGGCAACTGATCAATATTTCTCACATCCATGTTACTCTCCCTGTCCTCCTCCCTTCCTCTCTCCAAAAAAATAAATAAATAAAAGCAAATCACTAAATTCAGCCCACACTCTTCCTCTTGAAGGGCAGAGTACCGAAGAATGTGTGGACATATCTAAGATCACTACAATGAGATATAAGAATTACCTCTCCCTTGAGGGTTGGCTAGAAGTTGTAATGAGAACCAGGGATTCCTTTCCTGGGAACCCCCCCAAATTAGAACTATCGTCTTTACAAAATAGCTTCCACTGCTGTCTACAAGGCAGGAGATTCAACACCACCAGGTTCTTGGTTGCTTACGGCCCAGTTACTTTTAACAGCAGGTGCTAAATAAATGGCACCTAATAGGCATAAAACACTGTGCTAAGCATTTAACATTACAGATCCTCACAACAATCACACAAAATGGGCAGTATCACCCCCTTTTTCAGGACGGGAAAAAAGAGGTCCAGAGAGATAAGCCAGGATTTTTGTCCGGGTCTACCTGGTTCCCAAGTCATTGCTCTTTCCACTACGTGGCACTTCTATTACTCCGCTAGACCGAAGCTTGTTTTCTAGCATGAACTCGGGGAAGAACCACCAAATACATTGTTTCAGCTAACATGCATACCTTTGGTTCCATAAGTTACTTTCTTACTTCCATCAGTCCATGTTTTGTTTGTCTGGCATTTTCCATTTGCTGCTCTGAGGCCTCATTTTGTTTCACACTATGAGTGTTTCGCACTGGGTGTTGTCCCACCCAGGTCCTGGCACCTCCACCCACCCTCTCTGGGTTCATCTGCATTGGTGGGATCCTCTCACAGCAACTGGGCTCTGGTCCGGACCCCATGAGTCCCCTCTGATCTGAGGGGCAACTAGTGATTGTCCAAGCACACGCAGAGAAGCCCGTCCTCACGAACGCTCATCACAGGCTCTCTCTCGGCCTCCCCACACGCCTGCATCCCCACCCCAAGCCGCGCACATCAGTTCACCCTTCCTGGTCTCCAGACCCCGCCCGGCCCAAGGACAAGGCTCCAGAGAAGACCCAGCCAAAGTGGGAAGCAACTTTGTTTCCTCATTCTCCCCATAATCCTTATGACTTGTAAATATTTTTCAGTATTTATCCTGTCCACCCCCACAGACAATATCCTAATTCAGGCACTTGTCTCTTTCACTTGGGCTTCTGCATCAGCTTCTCTTTTTTTTTTTTTTTAATATTTTATTTATTTATTTTTAGAGAGGGAAGGGAAGGAGAAAGGGAGAGATACAGAGAGAAACATCAATGTGCGGTTGCTGGGGGCCGTGGCCTGCAACCCAGGCAGGCATGTGCCCTGACTGGGAATCGAACCTGCGATGCTTTGGTTCGCAGCCCGTGCTCAATCCACTGAGCTCCGCCAGCCAGGGCGTGCATCAGCTTCTTAAAAGCCCCCCCCCCCTCCCGCCTCGCCGTCTCATTTATCCCCCGCAAGGGCAGCCAGGCCACTGTCTGCAATGTGCAGACCTTCCCGTTTCCCTCCCTGGAGAGCACCGTCCCCGGGTCCCCTGTAACCACCCCCCGCCCCCCCGCCACACACAGGAGAAGAGCAAGGAAAGGCCTGGTGAACCGGCCCGGGTCTTGAGCTCCATCCTGCAGGTCACAGAAAGGGACCCGAGGCGGGAAAGCCGCCTCCGCACCAGGCGCCGGGTTACCCCACGTGCCCCTCGCAGGAACCTGCGGGGTCGGCACCCGGGGTCCGCCTGCACCGCCGGCGCTTCCTTCCCGACCAGCCCTCTCCTCCGGCAGCCGCGCGGCCCCGGCCCTTCCCGGCCCAGGGGCTCCCCGACCCGCGCATCCACCAGGCCGTGCGCCGCCGTCACCGCTTCTGGTCTAAACGCGCCCACTGCCGTCTGCTTACACAATTCCCCTAACACGCGTGAAAAAATACATCATTTCACGTTCCCCTCTGCGCCCTCCGGCCCTAGGCAAGAACGCGTCTCCCGGCGAGCAGCGAGTAGCGGCGGGGGCCCTTCGCGGGGCCCCTCGCGGGGCCCACGTGCCGGGCAGGAGCCACCGCGGCTCCGGGCAGCCTGGTCCCACAGCGCCCCTCTCGGCAGACTCGGGGCCCGGCGGGAGGGCCCCCAGGGGCCCCCGCCTTCTGCGCTCTCCCTGCTCTTCCGAGACGCGCGCGCGGGGCTGCGGGGCTGCGGGGCTGTCCGCGGGCGGCCTGGGCCCGGGCCTCCCAGCGCAGGGCGTCCCACGCGCGACGACAGCAGCCGCGTGTGCTCGGTGCCGCGTGGCGGGTCCGGGAGCCAGGGGTTGACTCTGCAGCGTCTCCCTCGGTGCCCGGAACGGCCCGCCGGGGGACCAGGGCGACCCCCGGCCGGCAGGGCCCAGGGCCCCGCGCACGGGCGGCTTCCCGCGCTTTCCTCCCCGCGCTGCTCCTCCTCCTCCTCCTCGTCCTCCTCCTCCTCCTCCTCCTCGTCCGTGCGGCCGACAGCGACGTTCCGCGTCGTGTCCGCGTCTCCCGACGGGGCGGCGGGGGCTTCACCGCCCGGCGGGGGGGGGCCCACAGGCCGCGGGCACCTTCCCACCCGGCTGTCGCCGCGGACCGCGCCCCCCTCCGGGCACCGGCGCTCCCACCCCCGCCGCGCGCCTGTGGCCCCCGGGCCCCGCCGGACGGGGCGCCCTGACTGCGGCGCCCTCGGCTCCGGCTCCACTGACTGAAGCGGCCGACGGAGGCGAGGGGCTCGCTGCCCACGGCGCCCCCGCGTCCGCCCCGCTGCGCGCCGGGCGGGGAGCACGTGCCGGCGGCCCGCGGGCACCTCGGGGGGCCGACGCGGGAGGAGGCGGGCCGCGGCGGGGCGGCCCCGGCCCCCGGGCCGGCCGCAGGGACCTCCGCCCCCGCCCCCCGCCCCCCGCGGCCCGCACGCTGGCGCCGCGCGGCCGTTACCGATTCCGCTGCTCCTTGAAGAGCGCCGTCAGCGCGCGGAGGGCCTCCAGGTCCTGGATGGGCGCGGGCACCATGATGCCGGACAGCCGGGCGGGCGGCGGCCTGGGCGCCGCCATCTTGCCGACGCCGCGCTTGACGGCGAGAGGCGGCGGCGGCCGGACGAGCCGCGGCGGGAGGGGGAGCGTTGGGGGAGGAGCGCCCGGCGCCTCGGGACCCGGGCTCCGCGCTCCGCGGCCTCGCACGAGAGCTCGAGGGTCGCGCTGGGGTCGCCCCGGGCCGCAGGCGGAAGTGCCGCCCGAGGGGCCGCGGCGCGAGCGGAAACGTGGCCGGAGGGGAGGGGGCGCGGGCGGAGGGCCGCGGGAGGGACGCCGGGAGGAGGTCGGGTCTGAGCGGCGGGAGCCTGGGTGCAAGGTTCACCCTGAGGGGAGGGTACGGGGCCGGGTTCACCTGAGGGGGCGGGGGTGCCGCGCGGGTTCGCCTGAGGGGGCGGGGGTGCCGCACGGGTTCGCCTGAGGGGGAGAGCTATGGGACAGGTTCGCCTGAGGGGGCAGGGTTGCTGGACGGGTTCCCCTGACGGGGCGCTGTCCCGGACCAGGTTCACCTGAGGGGTGGGGGCAGGGCTACGAGCCAGGTTCACCTGAGGCAGAAGGGATGCCGGACGGGTTCACCTGAGGGGGCGGGGGTGCCGCACGGGTTCGCCTGAGGGGGCGGGGGTGCCGCACGGGTTCACCTGAGGGGGCAGGGGTGCCGGGTGGGTTCGCCTGAGGGGGCAGGGGTGCCGGGTGGGTTCACCTCAGGGGGCGGGGGTGCCGGGTGGGTTCACCTGAGGGGGCGGGGGTGCCGGGTGGGTTCGCCTGAGGGGGCGGGGGGTGCCGGGTGGGTTCGCCTGAGGGGGTGGGGGGTGCCGGGTGGGTTCACCTGAGGGGGCGGGGGTGCCGGGCGGGTTCACCTGAGAGGGCAGGTGGGGGTGGGGGTGGGGGCAGGGGCGGGGAGCCGGGCAGAGGCGCCGTCTGAGGAGAAGGCCCGACGACCAGGCTCGCGCAGCTGAAGCGACCGGCGCCGACCCGACCCGCCGGAACCCAGCGCGGCCGCCACCAGCCCGGAGCCTGGGACCCGGCGAGCCCGGTGCCCGAGGGCGGCAGTCACCCGGGTTGAGAGCGCCGCCCCAGCGCCTCAGGGCTCCGGGCGCAGCCGGAAGCCGAGGGCCCGAGCTCCACAGCAGCAGCGTGCACACTGGCTTTCTTCTCAGAAATCGGACGAGGCCCTGGAGGGCGCTGGCCACGCTGCCGTTTTTCCCTCCGTGCCCCCTGATCGCGCCGGGCGCACCTCCGGCGGGGTGCCGCGGCGGGACCCGAGGGAGCTGGCAGGCCGCGGGGCCTGGGGAGCCCGACCGCGGAGCCCCCTGAAGGGCCGTGGCAGAGGGCGGCTCGGGCGGCCGTGGGGGCGCTTCAGACACGGGAGCGCGCCCTCTGCCACGCGCCGCGACGAGCAGGAGTGTGTTCAGGATGTGCTCCTGGAGGTCTTCCCTGAGTGAAATTTAGGTGCAATAAGAAACACCACTCGAGTCCGCGGAGGCCGTGAGTCGTGCACAGACACCGTTCCTTGGTGGTGTGGTGCGGCCTCATCCTTTCAGGCGACTCCGCTTTCCTCCACTGCTGTGCGCCAAGCATGAGACGCCCCAGCAGTGCTTGGGAGAACTCACGACGGTTAGCGACCCTTAGAAAGCGCTCCCCATCATTCCAAAGGCACCGCCTGGGTCACTGCAACTCAATCCTGATGGTTTTCTTTGCGTCTCTTGCCTCCGTGTGGTCTAGGTCCTTTAAACATGCAAGCCAACTCTCTGCAGGGTTTGCCTCCTTCCTTCCTTCAGCTTACCTGCTCAAATGATCTAATGAGTTTCCCTTATCAGTACTTTTTAAAGATTTTACTTACTTATTTTAGAGAGAAGGGAAAGGAAAACATCGACCAGTAGAAACATTGATTGGCTGGCTGCCCCTCACACGCCCCTCAACGGGCACCTGGCCCGTGACCCAGGCATGAGCCCTGACCGGGAATTGAACTGGGGACCTTCCAGTTCGCAGGCCGGCGCTCAACCCCCTGAGCCACACCAGTCAGGGCTCCCTTGTGAACCTCTAACATTGTAACATGCCACCCAAATTCTTGATCCTCAGGAATTTTTCTCCATAACACTTCACACTTTGTCTATCATAGTTTAGTTCTAATTTGTTTATTGTTACTTTGTTTACTGGCAGGATATGTTCCAACACCTAGAAAAGGACCTACTGTAGGTTATTCAATAAATATTAATCTAATTAATAAATAATATTTTAAAAGTATTTTAGGACCATGACTCCTTGCATTTCTCTTTCCAGGAGGCACTAAGCAATGGGTATCTCTCAGGACAACTGGCACAAGTGCCACAAGGCTGGAGACGAGCAAAAGTATGAGCTGGGACACCCTACTGCCAACACTAAGATTGGTTCCCACTGCATATACACAGTCCTTATGCAAGGAGTCAGCAAAAAGTACCATGCCATGAGGCTGGACATGGGCAACTTATCCTGAGACTCCAAAGGTTGTGCATGCAAAGCAAGAATTATTGATGTTGTCTACAATGCATCCAACAATGAACTGGTCCACACCAACACCCTAGTAAAGAACTGGTTCATGCTCATTAACAGCGCACCATACAGACAACGGAAAAAGTCCCACTATGCGCTGCCTCTGGGCTGCAAGATAGAGGCCAAGTTGACTCCTGAGGAGGAAAAGATTCTAAACAAAACACATTCAAAGAAAATTCAGAAGAAATATGATGAAAGGAAAAGGAATGCCAAAATCAGCAGTCTTCTAGAGGCACGGTTCTAGCAAGGCAAGCTTCCTGCATGCATCATTTCAAGACTGAGCCACTGTGACCAAGCCAATGGCCATGTGCTACAGGGCAAGGAGCTAGAGTTCTCTCTGAGGAAAATCAAGCCCTGGAGAGGTAAATAAATTCCGCCTGTTTTAGCTCATGTAATAAAGGTGGTATACTTTCTGTGGGGAAAAAAAAAGATATTTTCAGAAAAAAGAAAGGAAATAACATGCCTCCAGAAGAAGTACAACAGTCAAAAAAGTTCAGGAAGAAGGAAGGATGGGAGAGAGGAAGAAAAATAAAAGGACGGTTAACAGAGAGAGACATTAATAGGACAGGCTAGAAATATCAGCAAATAGGAGAAACAAAAGAATATTAAATTTGGTCAAACAGTGGGAGTTATTGACTGCCTGGAATCGACTAGAGAATTTTCAACCTTGACTGAATTGACAGAACTAAGTTAATATTTCACTTGGGCTAAAAGGCATTTTTTAACATTACATAATATTATGTAATTGTTTACCTTAGATCAGAGATTTTTCAGCCAGTGTGCTGCAAGAATTTTTAAAACATGCAATACCTGATTACTTAGTGAGGGGTACTGACCTCTTCCCTTAGATTGTCAAATTAAAAAATTGACAACAGCCAACACAACAATAGCTGTCTGGTGTGAACAAGTCAAAATTATACTTATTTTTGTCAGATCAGCAAAAAAAATTTTGCTGTGCCGCAGTTTTAGTAATTAGTTTATGTGTGCCATGAGATGAAAAAGGTTGAAAATCACCGCTGTAGTTAAATGTGCCACCATGTTGATGTACCTGAATTAAACTTCAGATGAAATTTGTGATATAAATTTGTATCTTGAGCCTACTGCAGAAAAACTGGATCAGCAATGATTCAGTAGTCAAAAGATAAAAATAAATAAAAAGAAAGAAGGAAGAAAAAAAATGCAAAGCAAGGAAGAAAGTAGGTGAGGTTCAGGCAAAAAGATTTGAAGCAGCCCTGGCTGGTGCTTGTCAGTGAATTGAGCTCTGGCCTGTGAACCAGAGTCACTGGTTCAATTCCTAGTCAGGGCACATGCCTGGGTTGTGGACCATGTCAGGTCCCCAGTAGGGGGTGCATGAGGCAAACACACATTGATATTTCTCCTTGTCTTTCTCCCTCTCTTCCCCTCTGTCTAAAATAAATAAGTAAAATCTTTTTTAAAAAGATTTGGACCAAAGTGCACATGGTTTTGGCACAGAAAAGAGAGAGAAAGTGGATACTGGTAAAGAAAATGGAAGATGAGTGACAGATGGAGAGAAAAATTCTTGTTTGTGCTGACTCCTCTATCTCGCTTTCTTACCCTCTCTGCCTTTGATTTTCTCACTAGAAAGCTTTATGCCATTGCCTCTTACTCCACTAAGACATCATGTGTCAATCAGGAAATCCTCTCTCTTGGCACTGATTTTTCAAAGACAGACTTGTGCTGTGGTTTTATTTAGGTACCATCGCCCTGCATCTGAGGTCCTTCAAGGCAGAGATTTTGTCCCCTTATTTCTTATAATGGCAGAATTGAGTAATTGTGACAGAGATTGTGTAGCCCACAAAACCTAAAATATTAACTATTTGATCCTTTATAGAAAAGGTTTGCCAATCTCTGGTAAAGAGATGAGCTCTGGAATCAGACAAATCTGGATAATGTGAACCCTGTTCTCATCTCCTTGCACCTGAGCTTACACAACCAACCATATCTTTAAGCTTTTCTTTTTAATTTGTAAAATAAAATAGCAATAATACCTACTTAATTGGGCTCAAGGTATAATTGGTAGTAAGTGACTAAAACAGACTGCTGGTATTTCTGGCAATAATTCTGATCTTCCTAGTTATATTTGCATTGTGGGGATCAATAATTCTTATACAATTTGTGAAGTTAGCAACCTAATTTCCTGTGATTGCTACCAATCCATTTTAAATTAAGTTTTCATATTTCGATTTAGCCAATATCATGAACTATATTAGAATCTAGTGTTACAAAAGTGAATAATATAATGCCTCAGCCATCAATCAGCTGTCCTTCTATTAGGGTATCCAGAAATATAAACATACATTGGTGATACAATGTAATAATACCAGAAAGGATATACAAAGCTAGGCAGCTGGGAGGTGAAGAAGGACTACTAAAGAAGACCTATAAGTTAGATTTTAAATGATTAGGTGAACACTGGACAGGCAAAAGTGGAAGTAGATTCCAGAAAATAAAGCACCAAAAATGTCCTAAGACTAGTTGGTTTTATAGTGAATTCTACCAAACACAAAGAGAAGATACAACCTCTATCTTAGATGAGAAGTTTCACAAAACAGAAAAAGTTTCACTTTTAGCCTGTAATGACAAGCTAGGTTATTTGAAGCAATCCTCTGAATGAGAAAAACTTTTTTAAAAATGAAATATCTAAAAAATTTTCCTGTCACCTAGTTGATCCAAGCAACCAAAAAATCTGAATTGGGATTAA